GGGGGGGGCTCTTACAAATTTTATGACAATCCATCATTCAATAGTATTAAACACACTTGTACATATGTTACCATCAACATTTCCAAAATATTTTCTTTCTACCTGAGCCGTTGGTTGTTTTTTTTAAATCATTTTATTAGGGGCTCATACAAGTCTTATCACAATCCATGCATACATCAATTGTGTAAAGCACATTTGTACATTCATTGAATATGGCTCTTCTAACCACAAATCTTAACTTCCACCAAATGCTTGGGAGGGACTTTGCAAATAGGGTGTGTGAAACACTCAGAGGGGATTGGTCTGTTTTCCATTCAACCTTGACCCAAAGAACAAGAGAAAGGTCAAGGTATCAAGTGAATGAGACGTTGAGGATCAGACAGAGACCTGACTCCTGATTTAGAAGAGATGCTGCTGTGGACAAAAGACTATATCCTTTAATGTTTTCGGATCCTGACTTGTGGTGACCTGTTAACTTCCCTAATCAGCTCCCTCATCATGAGTAGGTCTGTGAGCTCTGTGTGGCCTGCGCAATGAATTCTCAAACCCAGCATGCAAGTAGAGTTCTGTAGGAGGGGTGGTTGGTGTCAGGATTGGTAAGAAGGTTGGAGGGTGGAGGTATGTGTGATAGGTAGATTTATTGTGCCGACCTGGCCAATAGGAACATGTGGGAATGATCAGGTCGCAGTTTGATTGGAGGGCAAAGAGATAAATGGCTCTACAAGGCCCAACCCTCTCTCTCGTTGCTCTCTGGTGATTGGACGAGGGTGCTGCTGCTTTAGCTCGTTTTCTGCCTCAACCTGTGAGCTACAGTACCTGTGAGCCAAACCAACCTGTGGATCGTGGCTAGAGCTTAAGGCTCCTTCAAGACCTGCTTAGCCATGCTGCTAGTGCATACATCACTTGAGCTTGAGATTGGTGGATCCTGTCACTTTGCATTGCTTGAGTTAGACATCCCAACCAGGCCAGCTTCGCTAAACTCCTGAAATACTGTTGCTGACCCATCCTGCTGTTCACTGTCTGGGGGCAGACTCTGCCTGCCTTGCCTGAGGGAGGACTCCACTGTCTGCTTCCTTGACTTTGGATTGGACCTTTCACATGAGTTGAAGGACTTTCAGTATACTAACTGTTCCAGGGAACTGAGTTGAACTGAGCCCTCTGTACTGCTTTGTGGAATAATTAGCTGTTATATTCCTTCTTGCTGTATAAACCTAACCATATATATATATATATGTGTGTGTGTGTGTGTGTGTGTGTGTGTGTGTGTGTGTCCTGGTTTTGTTTCTCTAGAGGACCCTGCCTAACACAGTATGTCTGACTTCTACCTTATGGCAATTGGCCTTGAGCCTGTGTAGGCTCTCCTCCTTTGTGTAGCCCAAGGAGGTTAAAAGTGGCCTCCGAGCCATTTCTTTAAAGAGTTTCTGGTCTAGTAAGGGAGGTTAAGACCCATCAGAAGGCACTATGAATCCAAGTTCTACAAAAGAAAAACTTATTTCAAAGAAGAGGACTGGGAAAGGAATTAGAAAGATGGCAGCACCAAGGCTCAGGTTGGAACTGACAGTAGAATTCCAAGCCCAGGACACAATAAAAGAAAAGGTCTAGACTAGAGTGACAAAAGCATGATGTGTGCCCCGCTAATCCAGATTGGTGTACCAGACCTTGAGCTATAGATGTTGGAAAGGTTGGGGGTCGGAACCCTCTGCTGCTCTGCAGATGGGGCAGTATGCTTAGAGACTCAGAGCCTTAAACGCCCTGTGGGGCAGTTCTCTTCTGTCCTACAGGTTGTCAGTCATAACTGCCTTGTTGACAAAGGGTGACACCATAGTAAATTAGGCATGGGTGGGGGTGGGGGGCAGACACGCAGCAAAATTAGCCTTGAGAATCATCAGGGTGTTTCTTTGCTCAAAAGAAATCCAGGTGTGTGTGTTCAATGGTAACCAGCCTACTCACACCCACACACCTCTTCTAGTCAAAGAGGAAACCTGGGGGTGACCAGATATGTACTGCATGCATTGCACTCCCTTTTCCTTAGTATCTGCTGTGGTCAACTGCTTCCAAGCTGGCCACCCAGGGCCTATTCCATAGGCCTTCAAGCAGTGTGACTGTGACGTGTTTCCCATCCAGGCTTAATAGCCATTTTTCCTTCTCTTGATTCTGAAATGGCTAGCAGACTGTAGCAGAAGCGAAATCCCCAGAGTTCCAGGACCTAAGCTTTAAGAGGCATTTCAGCTTCCATGTTTGCCCCTCTTGTAGCCCTAATTATTTTCATGGGAGTCCAGTGAGACAGACCGAGGGCAGACCACTAAGATCGGATTAGTCCCCATAGACCACTTAAGACATATGCTGGAGGTTGAATGGACACTGCAGTCATCCCAGCTGAGGGGCCAGGAGTATATGAGGTTATCTTTAACCTTCCAGTCCAAATAGCTGCAGCCTGAGTCCAGGCCCCACCACCTGGAATGGAGACAAGCTAGTCTAGCCAGGCTGCTTGGGGAATCGTAGAGCAAACACATAATTACTGTTTCAGATAGTAAGTGTGGGAATGGTATGCTGCACACCAGTGGATTATGGAAGTATCCACAGTGCTAACCAAATCCTGCCCTTGTTTCCTGGGTTGAATGTCTCATTCTGTTGGTGCGGATACGGTGTCTTACTATTTGATCAAAAGCCAAATGTCATTAAGTTTAGTCAAGCTATTGTCTTTACACTGGAGGCTAGAAGGCAAAAATAAAAAATATATATATATATAAAGTTAAAGTTGGGACTAATTGAAAGGAAGACTAATTCTATTCCCAAACACATGAATATGTGTTTTGAGAATCCTACCACCATACTAAAATATTGACTTTCCCCCCCTCCTCCTTCTAAGCTGAGCTCCCTTAGGGGCAGAAGTATGTCTTATTTACCTTTATAGACAACCGACACCTGGTCTCTCAAACAAAATAAATCCACAAAACTGGAAAGAAGGAATGAGCATGAGGGAAGAAGCGATCTTGCTTCTTTTAATAGTAGTGCTTTTATTAATCCAGGTTGAACCATACTGTTTTCTTCACATAAAGTATGTGTTTTGCCAGATGCTTCTATTTAGGTACTCGTTCCAGGAGATTAATTTACCTTGGTGAGCACGGAGAGTGGCGGAGTGAGAAATGATTGGGCTAGGGTGCGTGGCAACAAGAAGACATTAGACGCACTCGGAGTAAACCGAGGGCAGAGAGAGGCAAAAAGAAGTGTCAACAAAAGCTGTCAGATAGGAGAGGTCACTGAAAGAATGACAGAAGATGAGGGCCAACGAGGGAAGAACAAAGAGGAGGGAGAAGAGAAAATGAACAAGAGCCATGGAAGAGGGGGTGTCCGGCTCAGAGTCATCCACCCAAGGACATGTCCGTCAACAGAAAGGAGCCTCCCCGGCAGCTGTTAGCATAATATAATGGGAGCTGGCACCTGAAGAGGGACCAAGCTAGTTGAATTAGTTAAGTGGCATTATCTATGTCCTAGGGAGATGGGGAAGGTAAAGGAACTGAAGGCTTGGTGAGCCACTTCCCTCCAAAGTCTGAAAGGAAGAGATTTTTACAAAGCCGGGAATGAAAGAGACACGTTTTTGGGGTTCCACCCCCCCACCCCCCCACTTGGCCTCACTAGATCCCAATGGATTCCTATTTGGCAATTACATTTTAAAGGAAAATGACACTGTTCGGATAGGGGGAACGAGGATTAAATATCAGTTCTTTACCTTGCTTTGAGCCACGAATAGGTTTACTCACTTGTTTCTTCTGTTTTCCAACCAGCTTGCCTTGAGCAATGTAGCGGGAACTGTGGATTGTTGCTGACGTGTGGGAGAAGCGCTGGGATTCTGGACCTGAGTTCTTAATCCACTTTTGCTACTAATTGATTGAGAAGCTGTGCACATCATTTTACAGTCCTACCCTTGTACCTAGGAGCCCCGGTGTTGTTGTCTGGGAAGCACCAGACTGCAAACCACAGGGTTGGCGGTTCAAACCCACTAGCCTCTGTGCTGGAGAATTAGGCAGCTGGCTGCTCTCATAAAGATGTGCAGCCTTGGAAACCCTATGCAGGGTCACTGAGTCCAAATGGACTCAATGGCAGTGGGTTTGGTCCCTTTAAGACTAAGATTCACTATTACACTCTTACAAATGTAAACACTTTCCAGACAAGGTTCTCTTTAGGAAGGCGAGGTCTTGAAAATAAATCTGAACTTTTCCAGGTGTAAACAGATAAAGGAAATAATAATTTTTGAAAATACATGCTTCATTTCACTCCTAATACTAAGAATCCTTCTTTATCGTGGTGTTAGGAATTGTTAGAGTAGGATTACGTTTTTTTTCCCCTTTCAGTTTACAACATCAGATTTCAGGGATCACAAAGATTAATTTAACTTGGTTCAAAGATTAACTGATGTCAGATAGGCTGCTGACCTGAGGCATAAGGAAGACGGGGGAAGAAACAGCTTCTAACTTACAAGCAAAACAAAGCAAAATAGCCTGGCAGTGGAAGGTTCGGGTGGGAATTAGCAAAGAAAAAACCAAGACAGTTATAGGCACAGTGGGCCAATCTCCTGAGAACACAAGTTCCATTTCTATCAGGAATTTACACTCACTGGAGGTTGCTTTAGGACAAGGCTGAATAAATGAGATATTTCAACACCATATGTTCAGCGTTGGCAGGAGAGGTAGGTGGGAAGGGAAGCTCACTGTTTGGGAATGCCCAAGTCACACACCAGCTGGCTATTTTGTCAAGAAATAAGGAGAAACACACAGATCGGTGGTCAAAACACCTTTAATGATAGAGGGAAAGACACTAATATCTCCCTTGTCTGCTCTTTACAATGTACTATGTTAGGAAGCTTTGGAGCCTACACCTCTGGAGGAGAAGTCATCATTTAAGCCAGTACAACACAACCATCACTTTCTCCTCCTCAGAACCCCCCTTCCAAACAATCCTATGTTAAGGGTAAATCCTACATCTCCTGACAAGACGGCGGACTAGGGAGACTACCACCTGGAGTTGAGCTCCCAAAGCCTGGGACTCTCAGAACCAGACAGTGGGACACACAGCCCCAGTTCATAAACAGGCAAAATGGGGAGAAGGAAGGGGCCTTAAGATAGGAAGATAAGGAAATTACGAGGGGGCAGGGAATAAGGAGGGACTTATCTAAAAACTAGAACACTAGTGCAAGGAACCCCCCCCCCCCAACCTGGTGCACCCGTGAAGTTAAACATTCATGACACCCACCCACTGGGAATTTGGAGGCCTCGCCCTTACACCACACCCCTTTCATCACATAGATCTCCACAAAGCTCTAGGCTTTAGGCAGCACCCCTAAACTCTCCACTATTCCTCCAACCACCCTCACCAATGCTGTTCCTTAAAGAAAATGAATTCACTTCACATTTCCCAAAATATCTTACAGGAAACCTCTTAGCAAGAAATCTGCTTGTTTCCTGGGATGACAGAATGTGAGCAGGTAGAGAGATCTCGGCAAGTCAGTCAGTCAACACCTTTGCCTTCACGGGACCATCAGGAGTTTACAGAAAGAGTGCCCTATACTCTTTGTCTCTCCTTCTCCAGAGGGCTGAGCCATCCGTTACTGTAGCATCGTCATTGCCGGGACCTTCTGGAACAGGGGGAAGAAGGAATGTAGCGGGTCGCTACTTCTCTTCTCAAGCTCTGCCTCAGATACGGAAGGCCGAAAAAAGTGGAGTTTGTCTTCTAGTTGGCCTCTCTGGATCCCGTTCTTGGAAGCACCTTCCCAGTTCTTGGATCCAGAGTACTGGGAGTGCCGGGCCTGGGGTAGTAGAAGAGGAGCTGGAACTTCAGGGCTTGGAGGGAGGCCACTTGATGAAAAGCTGTGTGCTGGTTCAAGACAGAGGGGATCCATTCCTGCCAGCCAGGCAGGAGTCACGTGGAACCTGCAGTCCTGCAGGTTGACCTGGTCATCGAAGAGGAGTGGCGCTGGGCCCTCCAGAGGCAAATGTCAGCCTCTTGTGGCTGGGCTACAGGTCCCAATGTGGGTGCTCAGGTACACACAGGAAAGGGAGAGGGAGGGAGAAGAGGGGCGAAAGGTTTGCTCCAGGGAAGCTGGAGAGGGTTCCTCTTGGGTGTGTGAGAGCTCTAGGGAATCTATTTTCTTCAGGTATAAACCTTGAAGGGGTGGGGGTGGGGATTCCTCATGGGGTGGCCCCGGTGAGCCTAACAATCTCCAAGCTCAGGGACTAGAGAAAAGACACTAGGGACATACTATGTAAGAACTCAGAGAAAGGGACAAACCCGAGCTCCTACATCTTGAAGCGCCTGCGATGGAGCTCCGACTTTCTGCGCTCCTCGACCAGCAGATACTGTGAAACAGGCTCATGGGATCGTGGGGTCATCCTTCCGGGGATAGGGGGAGAGCCCTGGAGAGGTGATAGAGGGTACACAGCCGGGGACCAAGGCGAGAGCAGCAATATTCTGAGGCCCGTGGGGGGCAAAGGGCTGCACTTGGTGGTGAGCCAACAGCAGGTGCTTCTTGAGGGTGGCCCGCTCCAGAAAGCCCTGCTTGCAGAAGATACAGGTAAAGAGAGGGCCCTCCTTGGGGTGGGTCGTCTGATGCTCTTCCAGAGCTGCCTGAGTGGGAAAGGTCTGACCACACAGGTCACAGGCCTTCCTGCTCACGCTCTCACCTGGCTCCTTTCTCATCGCTTCCTGCACGCCTGGCCCCTCTACCAGGATGGGGCCGGTGCCGTCCCCTTCTGGAGTGAGTGTTGGCATTGGGCTTGAGCTCCTGTCGGGTTTGCCTGCCTCTTCCGCGCCTCCTGCAACCTCACTGTTCGCCAGCTCCATGGGCTGTGGCTGATCCAGGCTGTCAGGTGGTGGTGGCGGCGGCGGCGGCAGCAGCAAAGACAGGGGAGAGACTTTCTCGTTGTTTTCCATCTCCTTCCCAGCGGTGGCCGTTGTGGCCACGGTCCCCACTTCTTCCTCGGCCCCAGATGCGTCTTCGGAATCCCCTCGGACGGACACTGCCTTCTCACCGCCACTCTCGGAACCTCTCCCTGCCAGGGAATCTTCATCGGTCACATCCTCCTCTTCCTCCTCCTCTTCCTCCTCCTCCTCGGACAACAACTCTTCTGGGGACGGCTGCTGGGCTTGTTGCTGGGGGAAGCTCCCTACCCCAGAGCCTGTAGGTGGCTCCGAACCATTTTCCTGGACTGCTCCCCCACCTTCAGAGAGCGTGGCGCCCCCGTTGGGGATCTGGCCCCCCAGGTGCATGCGGACGTGCTGCTGCAGAGTGACAGCATTGGTGAACTTCTTCTGGCAGATGGGGCAGGAGTTCTGCGCTCGAGCAGCTGGACTGGCCTTGTGGCCCACGAAATGTGCACGCAGGTTGCCCCGGGTGGAGAAGGCTCTGCCGCAGACTTTACACTTGAAGGGCCGCTCACCTCCATGTTGGCCGTAATGCAGGCGCAGGGCCCGCGGGCAGCTCAGCACCCGGAGGCAGATGACGCACTGGTTAGGTCCGGACGAAGCTGAGGATGAGACTGCAGGGGTGGAGGTGGTGGGAGCTCCTGAAGCAGTCGAGGCCACAGCCACGGCGCCTTGCCGGTCGATCTTTTCTACCAGCTGCTGCAGCTTCGAGGTCTCCGAGGGCAACGCCCCCAAGGGCTCCAGCACATAGGGGAAGGGGAAGCTGCCGGTGGACTTGAAATGGTTGGTAAGCAGGGCCCAGCTGGGTAGCGAAGTCACCAGCTTACTGAGCTGCATGCGGCCTGCGGTGCCACTTTCGGCCCCGCTGGTGATGGCCGAGCCCTCGCTCCCTGGAGGAGTGTTTTCATCAGCCTTACTCTTGGGCTCCACGGCTTTCATGAGCACAAACTTATTGAAGGCAGGGAGCCCGGGGGCTGTGGCCGTGCCTGCGCTGGTGGAGAGCAGGGTCAGGCTCTCGGTGGCACTGAGGGCAGTGGTAGAGGCCACCAGAGGCTTGCGTTCAACAGCTGCACCTGGCGTGGCCTCCTCCTCGGCTTTCTCTGGAGGCACGGACATGCCATAGGGCAAGCCGCTGCTGGTGATGACGTAGTCTAGGTGCTCTGGCACCGGGTGCGGGTTCATCTGCACGTGCGGGTATTTCTCCCGGTGCCGGTGGAAGTGCACTTTGAGATTCCCGCGGGTGGTGAAGCGGTTGCCACAAACATTGCACTTGTAGGGCCTCTCGCCTGTGTGGGAACGCAGGTGGATCTGCAGGGCACTGTCACTGCCAAACACTTTGGCGCAGAAGCGGCATTTGTGCCGCCCACCGGGCTTCTCCAAGGGCCCTATCACCTCCCCATACCCCAGCTCGCCACTTCCATTCTTTGGCTTCAGGAGCCCGGGGGAAGCGGCAGCCTCAAGGCCACGGGCTGCCCCCAGACACTGTGCTGCCAATAGTCCCGTGGTACCTGGGAATGCCAGGTGAGGTGTGGCAATCAGCTGCTCCGTGCTGCCTGCCAGGGCAGGAGAAGGGCCAGGGGCGGGCTTGTGGCTTCGCCCGACCCCACCGGCAGAGAAGGGGTGCTGTGTCCCCAGTGGGTGGTAGAGGTGGAAAAAAGCCTGCTTGGGTGTTTCTGCCCCGGAGGAGGAGGAGGAGGACGAGGACGAGGAGGAGGAAGGGGCCAATGTCTTGCCGGTTTGCACTGGCTTGATGGGGCTGAAGAGGGGTAGCAGGGGTTTGGTAGAGGACGGGGTCCCTGTCGCAGGTAGCTCGGAGGGACTGGCAGGGGCACCAACCGTCTGGCCTAAGGAACCAAGCAGCAGCACCTGCCGGCAGATTTGCTCCGTCATCTGCATCTGATGGATTTGCCGCTGCTGCAGCACCCGCAGCTCTTCCAGGATCAGAGGGATGTTCAAATGGCCGCTGCTGACCCCCGGGGGTGGAGGAGGGGGCGGGGGAGGAGGGGGTGCAGAAGTGGACTCTGGAGGTAAGGGGGTTGCACCCAGCTTGGGACTGGCCAAGATTAGGCCCCCACCTCCCCCGGCTGCTGTACCTGTGGCAGCGACCAGGAAGTGCCCAGCAGAATCCTCTCCTCTCCGCTCTGGGCCCCAGGTGGGATCAGTGGGCACGGAGGACCCAGAATCCGGGGGGTTGCTGTGCTCTGCGTCCATGACCTGGGGAGTACTGTGGCCCTCCGGTCGAGGTTCAGCCGAGGAAGAAGGGTTGTTGGGGTTTTCTTGGCCCCCAATGATCACCATAACAGGGGGGTCAGTAGAGCACGCGTTCTGGTGGGCCAGGAATTCAGCTGGGTCAGTGAACTGTGCGCAGCACTTGGCACAGACTTGGGGGTGGTCCTCTTCGCTGGCATCACCTGGGGAGAAGACAAGGAGAGAGCGTGGGTGGTGCCGCTGCGATGGTCTTCAGAGGCTCGCGGAACAAGGAGCCCAGCAACCGGCCTGCTGGGGGTGGGGAGATGAGCTCATCTGGCCGTGCAGGAGGCCAGAGCTCAGCCCAGACCAGCTACGACACGAGATACCCCAGCCTGGGGGGTGGGGGGCGGGGCACACGGCCGCCATCTCCCTCCCCTCTC